GGGCAGTAAACAGCTAAAAACACCCCTGTGGCCACCCACTGGTAACATGATGCCACCTGGTGGTGAAAGGTTTAAAGTCCGAACATTTGAAAGCCCCCCAAAAAAGAACTTTAACTTTACATGGCTTTAAAATATATGAAACAAAGTTGCCTCCACATTACAACATGTAGGATGGAACAGGTGAGGTTCAAACTCCAAACTTCAAACGGATCATGAAGCGATGGACTCTTGACTACTTGGATGTGCAAGTAAGGGTCCTTCTCACAGACACAACAAAAATCTTTTTTTTAAAATGTTATTTCTGCTGTTTTTATGACCAAAAATACAAATTCAAGTTGATGCAATACTGCAGATGACGTCCTATAAAATAAAGAAACGGCATGTTAATACTTTTAAAATTACAAAGTTGAATATGAGCAAAAACATCCACCAGTCACAGCAGGCATCTGATATCTCCTCCTCCTCCTTGGGTTAAACTGTATGCTGGTCGTTTTGCAGCGTTTAGATTAGAACAATCACTTCCCTTACACAGACTGTTAGTAAGTGAGAAGAGATATGACAATCAGTCTTGAAATTTTTTAAACGTCATAAATTTTTTTTATTTTTCCTTAAAAAAAAAGTCAGAATCTGCAGTATGTGCACTCTTAGTAACCAAGAGTGCACATACTGCAGATGAAAGGACCTAAAAAAAAAAGAACAAAATAATATGGTGGTGTTACCCTGATCATATAGAGCACAGAGACATTTGGCTCCACTTTAGTGTCATTAACTCACTTATTATGAACCCAAATCAAATATGGATTAATTACAAGAAAAGTTTAATATTCAACTAACGTTTTGGGAGCGAGGTCAGGATGTTGGGACGCCTTAAACCAAGAGGCACAGAAAAATAAAACAAAGAAGAGTCTCTGCTTTGGAAATATGAACGTGGCACACGCAGACGAATGCTTCTGTGGTGGAAATGTAACTGTAGTCAGGGCGAGATGTTCTCTGTCAGGGATAACCACTCGCTTGCTTTTAAACTTGCAGTGTCTGCTGCCTGTGCTGACACACTTTCGCAATTTGTGACACCAAATGGGATCGACGACTGCCTGACAAAGTCCCACATGACCTACATGCATTACCACCCACAGGGAGTGACCTCAGATACATTTCTCAGCTGTTAGCTTTGCAGCTTTCAGACGCAATTAATAAAGTTGGAGTAAAACAAAAAAAACTTCAAAAATGTCATCATGTGCAGCTCTGTTACAAAACTGTCTAGCTGACACCACAGAGCTGTCTAGTGTCTATGGTGTGTCTAGTTATGCTGTTGTTCACTCTGACGACAGATAAAAAGAAAACTTGCTAACAGGCCAGTGATTGAAATCAAGACCGCTATCATCAAAAGAAGATGAGGTTTTCCATCTGGACTAATTTATATTTAGTGGTTTATTAGGCAGACCCCACCACAGAACAGAGCAGGCGTCAGTGACAACAGGCAAGAGGCTGATTAAGCCAGACACAGCGTGAAAAGGAGGAAATGAAAGTGAGGTGGGTTGCAAAGCTGCTTGCAGTTGGAGAGGTTTTGGGCAGGCTAAAGCAACTTAAACTTGGCTGCTACTGAGGTCAGCTGATCTGCCAGGTCAAATAGCGCAGTGCACTATCTGCATGTTCCTTGATTAATATTGGCTGAGAAACAAAATTAGCTTTTGTTGCATTTTTAAAAATTGCACTTTTTTTCATAGCGGTGTGTTAGCAGTAGCAGCTAGCATATTTGTGCTGCTGATAGAATAGGGAAGCTAGTAACAGTTGGCACATGGTTGCATTGATATTGTTTTTTATGGGATGTGAAGGTGATCAGACAAATTCTGAACCCAAAGTATCGACGATCATCAGTTACACTGAAAAAGCTGAGCAGTTAAACCGAGTCAGGCCTGATGTTCACACCGCTGCTTTTCACGTCTGTTTTCACTTCCTGATCAATCTGTCCGACCAATAGGAAGCACTAACAGCTTCTACAGTAATATTGTTTTCTGTCCACAATATGGACATGCGCTGCGCTGCAGGACACCAAAACCATCTGAGAAAATGTCACAGGGAGAGTTTTTCAGATTTGACACTAATGGGAAGAAATAGTAAAAAGTAAGGCGTCATGAGAAAGTAATGGAAGGTGAAGTAATGTGGGCGTGATGACACAAATCAGCTTGACAGAATATTTTTACATGGGCCGTTTTCAAATTCTTACATCTTTGGGATAAAGGATGTTAGGAGTTGGACTCTGTTCTGGATTCTGTTCATAACTTTTATGGACACCACTTGACGCCGCCAAAGATTTTGAAGTTTCCGATTTAGTGGCGTAAGACTCAAGTCTTTGCTTTTTACGGCTCCCAATGGGATTTCATACAAAGTGCAGAGAAGGATAGGGCCTTGGAGCCAAGCTGGAAAAAGTGTGAGGCTGGGCAGCAATAGGGTTCAATTATCTTGAAGTCTTGCTCACACATGGGGGCAGACTTGAGCAGGAGATTGAGTGATGCACCATGATGCCATACCGCTATAGTGAAGATAGAGCCAAGCATAAAGGCTAAGAAGTCGCCTCTCACCTAAAGGCACAGCTGTGAGTAATAACCAAATGAATAAGTTCATGCATACACGCTGTTTCCTCCAAAGAGTGTCCTCAATCCATCCCATCCCTTTGAGATGGATTGAGGAGCCACGTGATCCGGGCCTCTCTTCTTACATTGCTGCCCTACCGCCCCAGACCCAGATAAGTAGTAGAAAATGGATGGAAGAATCAATGGACCCAAGTCCTACCTAATTTCCTGCAGAGTAAACTGTTAGAGGTGCATGGAAAATGTAAGAAAAGCACCTGGAATGAGCCTTTTACTTACATAAAAACAGGCTGCTGAGAGCATTCGGTTGGTCCGGTCCTTTAAAGACACGAGACAGGAGTAAAATCCCACTTTTCCTTTTTGAATTGCCCATCATTTTTAATCCTGACACGTAAAAATGTAAATTAAAAGTCAGACAATAATTATCTCCTATGATAATGAGAATTCCAGGTGAGGTAACAGGTCTTTGAGATAGAGATTTAATTTTCTTTCATCCTCTGCGCTGCACACGCATGCCGACAGAATTTCAAGCTGTTCTGTAAGGTGAGGTGGGGGGTGAGAGGAAGTGAGTTATGGATATGCCATTTTATCTTAATTTCCTCAGTCTGTGTGCATGCAAGAAACAAGGAGACATACTGATGAATTAACAGGAGATCTTGTCACCGAGCTCCCGGTTAGTAAGCATCATCTTCTTAATCACTCTTAATTTTCCGTTAACTTTTATTTTCCTGTAATCTTGATGTGTTTTTGGACGACTCCAGCAGGAATGGGGATGTCAAGGCTTTGAGGTGAGCAACGTAAGACAAATAAGCTGTGAAATGCTGGGTGTCAAATAAATGAATCAAAATCACTGCAGTCACAGCCAAACAGACTAGAAAACACCAATCTGCATGCTGCTCATATCCTTTATTACTCCAACCTCACTCATTACTCAGGATCTGTCCCCTCGACTGAACTCCAAGGCCCACCAAAGTGAACTCCTTGTGCGAGTTTCTTTCTGACTACTCGCATCTGTGCTGTGGATCTTCTCCAAAGTGAATTATTTTTAGAAAGAGGAGGAACAGGGAGCCAAATTTGCTGAGTGGAGTGACCGGCGTGTAGGGCTGCCACGATTAGTCGACTATTAAAATCGTCGACGACTGATTTAATAGTCGACGCGTCGTTTGAAGCTTTGTAAGATCCCAAAAGACGCAGGAATAAGTAGCAGGATTTAAGAGTGTAATAACGGACTGAAACAGAAGATGGCAGCACTGCATGTACAAGGATGCCAGCTGCCGTTAAACCCCGAAGAAGAAGAAGCAGCTGTGTCCCAGAATTCATAGCGCAGCCCAGCTCAGTTTCCAACAATGGCGGCAGCTAGTTAGTTTTAATATTACTCTTATTATTCTTTCTGGGTCACAAAATAAACGTTTAACATATTTTCAGGCGAGAATGTAGCTGTGTAAACCTCAAATATCTGCTCAGTTTATCAGGACACCGCATATTTTCAAAAGCGCTCCGACGTTTTCGGAGACGTCTGTTACCCACTAGCTCGATAGCTAGCCGGGGGCTAGGTCACTAGAGCCGTGAGAACACCGGACTCCCGGCAAATCGTTTTCAAACCCACCGCCGTCTTTCGCTACTCAGGTTAAACATGATATATGAGTCACTTAGATAACTTAAACATGTTATTGTTTGGCTTTTTTTGTATTTTATTTGTTCCTGAGTAAATCGGTTTGGCTGAGATTAAAGTTTTAGTTTTTACACAGCTGAATAAACGTCAAGCAGACAGCTGATTATCAGAAGTGTGAGATGCTGGAGAATATACTCCGGTGTCCTGTTATATTTTAGATAGCAAGGAGTTTATTAAACTTCACCGAAACAATCTGCAAATTTCATTCAAATGTAATAAACTATCATCTTGTCTTTATTTTTAGTTAGCACAGACCTTAAACACTTACAGCTGTAAGCTAATGATAGTTATATAAGAGCAGATGCTGCTGGTGCAATAAGCTGTACACTGTATGTCCAATGGATGATGATCTGATTAGTCAACTAATCACAAAAATAATCGGTGACTAGTCGACTATCAAAATAATCGTTTGTGGCAGCCCTACTGGTGTGGTCGTGCCTTGGGCTTGGAATGACTACTAGGGTGGCATGGGATGATTGCTCCTTACTTGAATTTGAACCTCGTGAATGGACAGCGAGGGTCAGTGAGTGACACCCAGGTAAATATCATCTCCTCCAGATGTTTCTTGCACACTCTGAGCAACATTTAAAATACCAGGTTTCAATTTTTTTATGCTCAAAAGATGTCAGTGAATACTATTGCTGCCATTCATCGTTTGAAAGAGCTGGGCTGAGGTCTGCAATGTCTGCCCTCCTGCCGGTGAGAGGACATGAGACTTTGCCAGAAACACCCAAAACACGTTGACTTAAAAACTTTATTTTCACATCCACGTCTTCTCATTTCAGGCATGTTCAAGCTGGGACAGTGGCCGCTTCAAGCCGATACTAGAAAGTTTATATTTTTAAAAACACTGACAAAAAGTGGAAATGTCCTTATAAAAATGTTATTATATACATCATAAACAGCATGAGCTATAAAAATACCTTCATTGACAAGTCTTAAAGTGAACCTAGCACCATAATCACAATCGAGTGATAATTGTGTCGCATTCGATATGACATAAACCGGCTTTGAAACATCGTTGTATTACACCACGAGCCCCGCCAATCCCAGCTTCCCTTTTTGTTATTCCTTTTGTCGACATGCTTTTACACCAACTGAACACTGGTGACGATCCAAAGGCCACTTCCTGCTTTGCTCCAGTCAACTTACGCTCCACCTTTGAGAACTATCACGGTCTCTGCTAAAGAAGCTACTTAACAAACAGTAAAACTACAATAAGAGCCACAAAAAGCAGAAAGAAAATATAACAAACATAGTCGTTTAAATTGGCATAACGGAACTTAACATGCATTAAAATAAACAGATAAATATTGAAAGGTTTTTTTAAGCTGTGGTAAATGCCTTTGTAGGCATCGGTGAGTCTGCACCTCCACTACTTGGCTAGAGCTTCAACTCTGTCAGATTAAATACATTAAATACACTAGCAATAAAAGAGCTGCCTTAGAATCAAAAATATATGGATTAGACTTGAAAATATGGAAATCTTTTGTGGTTGAGGGATCGCGTGGTTTTGTGAGGTATGAACACGTCCCTGTAGAGTGAAAAAAAAAAAAACGGACTTGAGTCGAGAGCTCGGGCTCCTCCCTTGAAAGCAAAATCGCTTCCCTACAGACACATTTTGCGTCATTTAGTGTGTAATTATTTGACACAAATATTAACGGCTTACAGCCCTGTCAATCGTTTTTTAAACATTCCTTTCGAAAGAACATCGTCAATAAAACATTTCATCGTTTGTTCTGAAATGTGTGGACACGAGTCATTGCAGCCTTACGAACGTAACCTCTTGATGCAACAACCGAACCAATCAGAGTACCGCCACTGAAATGACTGGACTACTGTGATGCAGTAGATTGTTTCCTCCGCCGCCGCCGCCTCGCTGACGGACAGAAACCTCATGAAAAGCTTGTGAAAGCACAGGGTGGGCGTCAAAGTCAGGATGGGGAGGGGGGAAAGTGCATGTGTCACTCTGCTGTTTGGAGGCTTGCTTGTGCTTCTGACTGCTGCTGCTCTTTGTTCAGGATGATGCTGATGATGTCTCCCTCGTGCTCCTTCATGTGCTCCATCAGTCGCTCTTTGCTGGTGGACTCGAAGCCACAGATGCAGCAGCAGAACAGGAGCACACAGTACTCCATGCCGGGGCCTGGCGGGGGGAGCTGGCCCGTGCGTGGATGGCTCTGGGACTGAGACTGAAGCTGTGCAGGGTCCTTCCCCTGGGGGCTTACGGACTCGGGGGACCACTTTGAAGGATCTGTGGGAGGTGTGGAGAAGCCCGCTGGGCTGTCAGCTGACAGAGCAGCTTTAGTTGCTGATGTGGGTGTTAGCGGTGGATCCGCTGTGCTCTTTGCTTTGTCCTTTGAGTGCGGGGACACTGCCGGGCGCTCTGCCGCAGACTCTACCACCGCAGATAACTTCTGAGGAGCTCTGCAAGAAGCAGAGGGTAAAATCATGAGAAGAAAAATGTCACCCTCAGCGTTTGTACGGGACTGGCACTTTACAGGCTTTCGTTTCCTCCCCCCACTGGGCGGACGGTCAGGTCGCTGTACCGGCCGTCCTCGTAGTAAAAAGTAAAAATAAGTGCAAAGTGCAGACTAACACAGTTGTTTCATTTTGTGGGTGTAGAACATGTGTAGAGGTCAGAGGTCAAATGTGACATGATATGCTAAATCTTTATATGGTACTTAAACAGCACAATACACAGCACACTTGTGAGACTCATAGTTTCCAAGTTAAAAGGCTTTTTGCCAATTTTCCACCAATCATCATCAGTCACTGAGCACCTTCGTGGATGCAAAGCAAATTTTAAATGGGACTCAGAGGTATACAATATTTACAAATTAAAAATAATTACATTAAAATGGCTCATAATACTGTAAACAATCCAGCAACATTTCCAAACAAACTTGCTCAGTGCTTTTATTATTATACTGTCATGAACTTTAACCTTTAACACGCTAACTGAGGCCTGCAGAGTCTGAGGGGGGACGTCCAATCCTAGCAAGACTGGCATTGTGTTAACAGACCTGAATTCTCCAGATCATCTCATTTTTATTCATCAGGTATCTGATCGGCAGCAACACCCACCCTCTTAATTCCTATGGAAGCAGTGAGGACTGCATAAAAGTTCAGGAAACGTTTCCTCAGTGCAGTGCTTGCATGTGCATGCATTGCCAGAGCTGCATATTCAGCATGTTTTGCACGAAACCCTGCACACTACATCCTTATAACATGAAATTACAAATGATGAAGGCAAGTAGCAGAAAGTCATATATTCTTAACAAAAACAGAAATATAAGCGAGATATATCATTATTATTACTAAAACCATTATAACCTGTATAATCCCAGGACATGAAGAGCACTGCCAGTTGATTTACTGTTGACATTTACAAACACTGAGATAAAACTTGAAAGAAGGCTGAAGGAACTGCAGTTTGTGTGCTTACCGGCTGCTCTGGGAGATTGCCTCGTTAATGGCTTTGTTAACCTGCTCGTAGTTGTAGTTCTGGTCTCCGGCGTGCTTCCACATGTGGGATTTGAGCGATGGCGGGTGACTGCACACATAGCCGCACAGAGAGCACCTGAAAGAGAGGAGGAGGAAAAAAATAAGTAAATAAATAAATAATGGAGGGAATATGAGAAAGGAGTGAGAGGGGCTCAAGCTGAAGATGATTTAATGTGTGTACTGAGGTTTTACTAATCCTTCTCCTACTTTCTATCAAGAGGAATCATCCTGACTGAACACTCCACGGGGGACACCGAGCTTGAGAGACAAAGAGGGGAGAGAGGAAATCGGATTTGCAGCACGCTGCTGGACTCATTTGTCAAAATTAAAAGAATTATGGAGTTTTAGATCTATTCAAACGCTTTCACTTGCAAATATCATTAAGGATAAAGACATCATGCACCCTCCCCCCCGAACAGCTGACTGAACACGCTCAGAACATGTTATTTATAAAACAAGCCACGATGTCGTTAAAATGAAATCACATCGCAGTAGACTAGTGTGTGATAATGGCCCGTTTCTTTCTCCCAGTTACTGACTCACTTTAGAAAACGTACACTTCGGCTCCATCGTCGTCTCGAAGACGTGATGAGGGCCAGTTTATTCCGGAAGCAGCAGATGCTTTTTGACACCACCAAGAAAAAAAAAACCCCACGATCTTTTTGGAGCTGACAGATGGTTTTGATGGTGCATTTAAAAATTCTCTCTTCTGCTCCATTTCACAGCGTTGTGCTTTTGTGTTGCTTCGCATCACGCTTGACGCCTCGAGGCCTCAAAGAGTAATGAGAAATTTAAAACTAAATAAAATAACAATCTCCACAAAAGGATCGGGGAAAATCTATAGCCAATTAATCCAGCCCGTCAGCATCCCACAAAGACTGAACCAACAGCCGTCAAACAGCTGCCTCTGACAGGCAAAGTCAATCAAACTCTGCCGTGTTCATTTGTTTGCTTTGCTTCCTTTCTGCTGCTGAGAAAACTGACAGCACGGAGCCAACGACTGGAACCAGATCCACCTTCTACAGGTGAAAAGGAATTTTAAATGGAAATGGAGTAATGTGACACACACACGCACACACAGGTCACCAGCAAAGGTACCGTCATACCAAG